TAGGTCAAAATATATTATTAAATTATATGTAGTTATGTACTAAACATTTTGTTTGTTGTTTTTTAACCAAAAACAAATTATTTGTAGCATGAACATACCGCAAAAATTAGTTATTTTAGACTCGACATGGCTACTAGGTAAATCCCCAGTATTATTAAAAATAACTAAAGGTAATTAGTTTATCAGTATTTGATTTTTTTTTTTAAATTTTTTTTATAATAAAAATTTATGAAGTATGAAGTCACAGATGGTTTGCTGAGCAGCATACCGAAGTTTTTGCCACATTTGTAGTTAAATAATGTGACTAAAGCCACACAATTGTTGTAATCCAGAATTGTTTCAATTTTTAAAAATCTCAAAACACGGACATTAGTTACCTATGTAACTCGAGCAAATCGATTTCTCATTCTGTATATTGTTTATGTTTATTATAAATAATAATAAAATAAAACAAAAAAATATTTACTGATTCATAGCCACAACTACAACACATTTATTTTTGGAATACTTTAAAATAATTACGTAAGCTTTTTGCGGTAGACTCCGTCTTAAAAACAAACTCTAAAGAACGAGTTCACTCTATATGTTTATCGCCATCAGACATGCTACCACTATACCGCAAAATAAAAATACTGGGGTTCGTCTTTTTTTTTATGTTGTCCGTCCATCTCATTGTATGTGTTAAAAAAAAAACACAAAACACCAAGAACCAAAAAAAAAAAAGATTTTTGTTTAAATTAAGACCTTGACCTTAGTATTGAAATTGAAATGAATATATGTATACGAAAAAAAAGCGAAAAATTTATTAGTAATCCAGTGAATACTTGATTTTAAGTGTTTATTTTTATATGGGTCTTGATAATATTCTGTTGTTATTGTTGTTTCTCATAAAATAACTCATGTTCAAGGAAAAAGTTATCAACAGGGCTGAGATAAAGTTTCTGGAGCACTTCTGTTTCAGCTGGAATAATTAGAAAATAAAACTTGCCTCTTAGTCTAGTCTGTAGTCATGTCTATAGTCCAGACTACAGTCTATTCTATAGTCCAGACTATAGTCTTGTCTATAGTCCAGACTATAGTCTTGTCTATAGTCCAGACTATAGTCTTGTCTATAGTCCAGACTATAGTCTTGTCTATAGTCCAGACTATAGTCTTGTCTATAGTCCAGAATATAGTCTTGTCTATAGTTCAGACTATAGTCTAGTCTATAGTCCAGACTATAGTCTAGTCTATAGTCCAGACTGTAGTCTAGTCTATAGTCCAGACTATAGTCTAGTCTATAGTCCAGACGGTAGTCTAGTCTGTGGTCGAGACTATAGTCTTTTATATAGTCCAGACTATAGTCTAGTCTAAAGTCCACACTATAGTCTAGTGTATAGTCCAGACTATAGTCTAGGCCATAGTCTAGTCTATAGTCCAGACTTAAGTCTAGTCTATAATCCAGACTGTAGTCTTGTCTATAGTCTAGACTCTAGTCTTGTCTAAAGTCCACATTATAGTCTTGTCTAATGTCCAGAATATAGTCTAATCTATAGTCCAGACTATAGTCTAGTCTATAGTCCAGACTATAGTCTAGTCTATAGTCCAGACTATAGTCTAGTCTATAGTCCAGACTATAGTCTAGTCTATAGTACAGACTATAGTCAAGTCTATAGAACAGACTATAGTCTAGTCTATAGTCTAGTCTATAGTCCAGACTATAATTCAGTATATAGTCCAGACTATAGTCTAGTCTATAGTGCAGACTATAGTCTAGTGTATAGTCCAGATATAGTCTAGTCTATATTCCAGACGGTGGTCTAGTCTGTGGTCGAGACTATAGTCTTTTATATAGTCCAGACTATAGTCTAGTCTAAAGTCCACACTATAGCCTAGGGTATAGTCCAGACTATAGTCTAGGCCATAGTCTAGTCTATAGTCCAGACTCAAGTCTAGTCTATAATCCAGAGTGCAGTCTTGTCTATAGTCTAAACTGTAGTCTTGTCTATAGTCCAGACTATAGTCTAGTTTATAGTCCAGACTATAGTCTAGTCTATAGTCCAGACTATAGTCTAGTCTATAGTCCAGACTATAATTCAGTATATAGTCCAGACTATAGTCTAGTCTATAGTCCAGACTATAGTCTAGTCCATAGTCCAGACTATAGTTCAGTATATAGTCCAGACTATAATCTAATCTATAGTCCAGACTATAGTCTAGTCTATAGTCCAGACTATAGTCTAGTGTATAGTCCAGACTATAGTCTAGTCTATAGTCCAGACTATAGTCTAGTCTATAGTCCAGACTATAGTCTAGTCTATATTCCAGACGGTAGTCTAGTCTGTGGTCGAGACTATAGTCTTTTATATAGTCTAGACTATAGTCTAGTCCACACTATAGTCTAGGGTATAGTCCAGACTATAGTCTAGGCCATAGTCTAGTCTATAATCCAGACTCAAGTCTAGTCTATAATCCAGACTGTAGTCTTGTCTATAGTCTAGACTGTAGTCTTGTCTATAGTCCAGACTATAGTCTAGTTTATAGTCCAGACTCAAGTCTAGTCTATAATCTAGACTGTAGTCTTTTCTATAGTCTAGACTGTAGTCTTATCTATAGTCTAGACCATTGAGTTTTGTCCAGACTACAGTCTATTCTGTAGTCCAGATCTATGCTTTTATCTATTATCCAAAGTGTCTATATTCTTGTCTATAGTTTAATCTACATATATAATATAGTCGTTCTCGATTTTTTAAATATGTTCGTTTAAAAGATATTTTCCTGACTGTTAGTCGTCTTAGATATTTCTAGGGATAAGATTTTTAACAATATTTTAAAAACTAGTTCTATTCAAATGTACCACTGCTTACTTATAAAATAACCTTACAAATTTCAGGGACTTGCAGTAGAAATCGTACGTGTATTACCCGACAGTCCGCCACCTGGTTTAAGTAACATTTTCTGTAATGCCGATGAAGCCAATCCAGCTGATATGGTGAGTTATACAACGATTTAATATAATCGGTTAACCAAAATCTCTTCTATTATACACAGCTTATTACTTTCGATTGTGACGCCATGCCGGTATTGCAAGTTAAAACCTTCCGACAGAAATCAGGAAAAGTTGAGACTTCCCATTATAAGGTAACCGTTTCTAGATTCCGAGCACGCATAGCTAATGCCATGAACTACAATACCTTAAAGGGTGATATGAGAGTAGAAGGTTTTCCAGATGTAAGTTGAGACGGTATCATTTTATTCGATTAATTATAAAAATTCTACGTTTTTATTTTCAGATACGCATAGCCATGAACAGTGTGGGCGCTATTAAGCCCATGGATCAGGATGAACAACAATTCCAGGCCCAAGTTTCGGAAATTTTAACTAGAGCTTTACGTGATACCATTTATCCTGTAGATTTCTCTATGTATACCACTTGTCCTCGTGCCGATATTGAACCCATGGATTTGCCTGTAATTTATCCCATTCCATATGATACTATGGCGGTGAGCGTAAGAACATTGAGAAGAGAATTTTGCTTAAAATATAACACATGACATATAGACATGTGTCAGTAAACATTACCATGACATGTCATGTTTTCTCTTTTAATTTTTTGTTCATTTCCTTTACAATTTTTTTAATCCTGTTACTGTTATTTTGGTGTTATGGACTTATCTTTATGTTATATGAATTACTAAAGGGATGTGGTCCATAGTTCGGGATTATATTTATTCTATTCCAGACAGAAGTCTATAGACCACTATAGTCCATAGTCTCTAGACTAGACTATACACTAGACTAAAGACTAGACCATAGACTAGATTATAGACCATATAAACTAGAATATAGACTAGACTATAGGCTAGACTATAGACTAGACTATAGACTAGACTATAGACTAGACTAGACTATAGACTAGACTATAGACTAGACTATAGACTAGACTATAGACTAGACTACAGACTAGACTGTAGACTAGACTGTAGACTAGACTACAGACTAGACTATAGACTAGACTATAGACTAGACTATAGACTAGACTATAGACTAGACTATAGATAGACTCTAGACTAGACTATAGACTAGACTATAGACTAGACTATAGACTAGACTATAGACTAGACTATAGACTAGACTATAGACTAGACTATAGACTAGACTATAGACTAGACTATAGATAGACTATAGACTAGACTATAGACTAGACTATAGACTAGACTATAGACTAGACTATAGACTAGACTATAGACTAGACTATAGACTAGACTATAGACTAGACTATAGACTAGACTATAGACTAGACTATAGACTAGACTATAGACTAGACTATAGACTAGACTATAGACTAGACTATAGACTAGACTATAGACTAGACTATAGACTAGACTATAGACTAGACTATAGACTAGACTATAGACTAGACTATAGACTAGACTATAGACTAGACTATAGACTAGACTATAGACTAGACTATAGACTAGACTATAGACTAGACTATAGACTAGACTATAGACTAGACTATAGACTAGACTATAGACTAGACTATAGACTAGACTATAGACTAGACTATAGACTAGACTATAGACTAGACTATAGACTAGACTATAGACTAGACTATAGACTAGACTATAGACTAGACTATACTAGACTATAGACTAGACTATAGACTAGACTATAGACTAGACTATAGACTAGACTATAGACTAGACTATAGACTAGACTATAGACTAGACTATAGACTAGATATAGACTAGACTATAGACTAGACTATAGACTAGACTATAGACTGGACTATAGACTAGACTACAGACTAGACTATAGACTAGGCTATAGACTAGACTACAGACTAGACTATAGACTAGCTATAGACTAGACTACAGACTAGACTATAGACTAGACTATAGACTAGACTATAGACTAGACTATAGACTAGACTATAGACTAGACTATAGACTAGACTATAGACTAGACTATAGACTAGACTATAGACTAGACTATAGACTAGACTATAGACTAGGCTATAGACTAGACTATAGACTAGACTATAGAGTAGGCTATAGACTAGACTATAGACTAGACTATAGAGTAGGCTATAGACTAGACTATAGACTAGACTATAGACTAGACTATAGACTAGACTATAGACTAGACTATAGACTACACTATAGACTAGAGATAGACTAGACTATAGACTAGACTATAGACTAGACTATAGACTAGACTGTAGATAGACTATAGACTAGACTATAGACTAGACTATAGACTAGACTATAGACTAGACTATAGACTAGACTATAGACTAGACTATAGACTAGACTATAGACTAGACTAAGACTTAGACTATGGCCTACTATAGTCTAGTCTATAGTCTAGTCTATAGTCTAGTCTATAGTCAGTATAGTATAGTCTATAGTCTAGTTAAGTCTAGTCTATAGTCTAGTCTAGTCTAGTCTAGTCTATAGTCTAGTCTATAGTCTAGTCTATAGTCTAGTCTATAGTCTAGTCTATAGTCTAGTCTATAGTCTAGTCTATAGTCTGTCTATAGTCTAGTCTAGTCTAGTCTATGTTAGTCTATAGTCTAGTCTATAGTCTAGTCTATAGTCTAGTCTATAGTTAGTCTATAGTCTAGTCTATAGTCTAGTCTATAGTCTAGTCTATAGTCTAGTCTATAGTCTAGTCTATAGTCTAGCTATAGTCTAGTCTATAGTCTAGTCTATAGTCTAGTCTATACTCTAGTCTATAGTCTAGTCTATAGTCTAGTCTATAGTCTAGTCTATAGTCTAGTATAGTCTAGTCTATAGTCTAGTATATAGTCTAGTCTATAGTCTAGTCTATAGTCTAGTCTATAGTCTAGTCTATAGTCTAGTCTATAGTCTAGTCTATAGTCTAGTCTATAGTCTAGTCTATAGTCTAGTCTATAGTTAGTCTATAGTCTAGTCTATAGTCTAGTCTATAGTCTAGTCTATAGTCTAGTCTATAGTCTAGTCTATAGTCTAGTCTACAGTCTAGTCTATAGTCTAGTCTATAGTCTAGTCTATAGTCTAGTCTATAGTCTAGTCTATAGTGTAGTCTATAGTCTAGTCTATAGTCTAGTCTATAGTCTAGTCTATAGTCTAGTCTATAGTCTAGTCTATAGCCTACTCTATAGTCTAGTCTATAGTCTAGTCTATAGCCTACTCTATAGTCTAGTCTATAGTCTAGTCTATAGCCTAGTCTATAGTCTAGTCTATAGTCTAGTCTATAGTCTAGTCTATAGTCTAGTCTATAGTCTAGTCTATAGTCTAGTCTATAGTCTAGTCTATAGTCTAGTCTAGTCTAGTCTATAGTCTAGTCTATAGTCTAGTCTGTAGTCTAGTCTATAGCCTAGTCTATAGTCTAGTCTGTAGTCTAGTCTATAGCCTAGTCTATAGTCTAGTCTGTAGTCTAGTCTATAGTCCAGTCTATAGTCTAGTCTATAGTCTAGTCTATAGTCTAGTCTATAGTCTAGTCTATAGTCTAGTCTATAGTCTAGTCTATAGTCTAGTCTATAGTCTAGTCTATAGTCTAGTCTATAGTCTAGTCTATAGTCTAGTCTATAGTCTAGTCTATAGTCTAGTCTATAGTCTAGTCTATAGTCTAGTCTATAGTCTAGTCTATAGTCTAGTCTATAGTCTAGTCTATAGTCTAGTCTATAGTCTAGTCTATAGTCTAGTCTATAGTCTAGTCTATAGTCTAGTCTATAGTCTAGTCTATAGTCTAGTCTATAGTCTAGTCTATAGTCTAGTCTATAGTCTAGTCTATAGTCTAGTCTATAGTCTAGTCTATAGTCTAGTCTATAGTCTAGTCTATAGTCTAGTCTATAGTCTAGTCTATAGTCTAGTCTATAGTCTAGTCTATAGTCTAGTCTATAGTCTAGTCTATAGTCTAGTCTATAGTCTAGTCTATAGTCTAGTCTATAGTCTAGTCTATAGTCTAGTCTATAGTCTAGTCTATAGTCTAGTCTATAGTTAGTCTATAGTCTAGTCTATAGTCTAGTCTATAGTCTAGTCTATAGTCTAGTCTATAGTCTAGTCTATAGTCTAGTCTAGTCTAGTCTATAGTCTAGTCTATAGTCTAGTCTATAGTCTAGTCTATAGTCTAGTCTATAGTCTAGTCTATAGTCTAGTCTATAGTCTAGTCTATAGTCTAGTCTATAGTCTAGTCTATAGTCTAGTCTATAGTCTAGTCTATAGTCTAGTCTATAGTCTAGTCTGTAGTCTAGTCTACAGTCTAGTCTACAGTCTAGTCTGTAGTCTAGTCTATAGTCTAGTCTATAGTCTAGTCTATAGTCTAGTCTATAGTCTAGTCTAGTCTATAGTCTAGTCTATAGTCTAGTCTATAGTCTAGCCTATAGTCTAGTCTATATTCTAGTTTATATGGTCTATAAATCTAGTCTATGGTCTAGTCTTTAGTCTAGTGTATAGTCTAGTCTAGAGACTATGGACTATAGTGGTCTATAGACTTCTGTGGAATAGAATAAAATATAATCCCGAACTATGGACCACATCCCTTTAGTAATTCATATAACATAAAGATAAGTCCATAACACCAAAAATAACAGTAACAGGATTAAAAAAAATTGTAAAGGAAATGAACAAAAAAATTAAAGAGAAAACATGACTGTCATGGTAATGTTTACTGACACATGTCTTATGTCATGTGTTATTTTAAGCAAAATTCTCTTCTCAATGTTCTTACGCTCACCGCCATAGTATCATATGGAATGGGATAAATTACAGGCAAATCCATGGGTTCAATATCGGCCACGAGGACAAGTGGTATACATAGAGAAATCTACAGGATAAATGGTATCACGTAAAGCTCTAGTTAAAATTTCCGAAACTTGGGCCTGGAATTGTTGTTCATCCTGATCCATGGGCTTAATAGCGCCCACACTGTTCATGGCTATGCGTATCTGAAAATAAAAACGTAGAATTTTTATAATTAATCGAATAAAATGATACCGTCTCAACTTACATCTGGAAAACCTTCTACTCTCATATCACCCTTTAAGGTATTGTAGTTCATGGCATTAGCTATGCGTGCTCGGAATCTAGAAACGGTTACCTTATAATGGGAAGTCTCAACTTTTCCTGATTTCTGTCGGAAGGTTTTAACTTGCAATACCGGCATGGCGTCACAATCGAAAGTAATAAGCTGTGTATAATAGAAGAGATTTTGGTTAACCGATTATATTAAATCGTTGTATAACTCACCATATCAGCTGGATTGGCTTCATCGGCATTACAGAAAATGTTACTTAAACCAGGTGGCGGACTGTCGGGTAATACACGTACGATTCTACTGCAAGTCCCTGAAATTTGTAAGGTTATTTTATAAGTAAGCAGTGGTACATTTGAATAGAACTAGTTTTAAAATATTGTTAAAAATCTTATCCCTAGAAATATCTAAGACGACTAACAGTCAGGAAAATATCTTTAAACGAACATATTTAAAAAATCGAGAACGACTATATTATATATGTAGATTAAACTATAGACAAGAATATAGACACTTTGGATAATAGATAAAAGCATAGATCTGGACTACAGAATAGACTGTAGTCTGGACAAAACTCAATGGTCTAGACTATAGATAAGACTACAGTCTAGACTATAGAAAGACTACAGTCTAGATTATAGACTAGACTTGAGTCTGGACTATAAACTAGACTATAGTCTGGACTATAGACAAGACTACAGTCTAGACTATAGACAAGACTACAGTCTGGATTATAGACTAGACCTTGAGTCTGGATTATAGACTAGACTATGGCCTAGACTATAGTCTGGACTATACCCTAGACTATAGTGTGGACTAGACTATAGTCTAGACTATATAAAAGACTATAGTCTCGACCACAGACTAGACTACCGTCTGGAATATAGACTAGACTATAGTCTGGACTATAGACTAGACTATAGTCTGGACTATAGACTAGACTATAGTCTGGACTATACACTAGACTATAGTCTGGACTATAGACTAGACTATAGTCTGGACTATAGATTAGATTATAGTCTGGACTATATACTGAACTATAGTCTGGACTATGGACTAGACTATAGTCTGGACTATAGACTAGACTATAGTCTGGACTATATACTGAATTATAGTCTGGACTATAGACTAGACTATAGTCTGGACTATAGACTAGACTATAGTCTGGACTATAAACTAGACTATAGTCTGGACTATAGACAAGACTACAGTTTAGACTATAGACAAGACTGCACTCTGGATTATAGACTAGACTTGAGTCTGGACTATAGACTAGACTATGGCCTAGACTATAGTCTGGACTATACCCTAGGCTATAGTGTGGACTTTAGACTAGACTATAGTCTGGACTATATAAAAGACTATAGTCTCGACCACAGACTAGACCACCGTCTGGAATATAGACTAGACTATATCTGGACTATACACTAGACTATAGTCTGCACTATAGACTAGACTATAGTCTGGACTATATACTGAATTATAGTCTGGACTATAGACTAGACTATAGACTAGACTATAGTCTGTTCTATAGACTTGACTATAGTCTGTACTATAGACTAGACTATAGTCTGGACTATAGACTAGACTATAGTCTGGACTATAGACTAGACTATAGTCTGGACTATAGACTAGACTATAGTCTGGACTATAGATTAGACTATATTCTGGACATTAGACAAGACTATAATGTGGACTTTAGACAAGACTAGAGTCTAGACTATAGACAAGACTACAGTCTGGATTATAGACTAGACTTAAGTCTGGACTATAGACTAGACTATGGCCTAGACTATAGTCTGGACTATACACTAGACTATAGTGTGGACTTAGACTAGACTATAGTCTGGACTATATAAAAGACTATAGTCTCGACCACAGACTAGACTACCGTCTGGACTATAGACTAGACTATAGTCTGGACTATAGACTAGACTACAGTCTGGACTATAGACTAGACTATAGTCTGGACTATAGACTAGACTATAGTCTGAACTATAGACAAGACTATATTCTGGACTATAGACAAGACTATAGTCTGGACTATAGACAAGACTATAGTCTGGACTATAGACAAGACTATAGTCTGGACTATAGACAAGACTATAGTCTGGACTATAGACAAGACTATAGTCTGGACTATAGAATAGACTGTAGTCTGGACTATAGACATGACTACAGACTAGACTAAGAGGGCAAGTTTATTTTCTAATTATTCCAGCTGAAACAGAAGTGCTCCAGAAACTTTATCTCAGCCCTGTTGATAACTTTTTCCTTGAACATGAGTTATTTATGAGAAACAACAATAACAACAGAATATTATCAAGACCCATATAAAAATAAACACTTAAAAATCAAGTATTCACTGGATTACTAATAAATTTTTCGCTTTTTTTTCGTATACATATATTCATTTCAATTTCAATACTAAGGTCAAGGTCTTAATTTAAACAAAAATCTTTTTTTTTTTTTGGTTCTTGGTGTTTTGTGTTTTTTTTTAACACATACAATGAGATGGACGGACAACATAAAAAAAAAGACGAACCCCAGTATTTTTATTTTGCGGTATAGTGGTAGCATGTCTGATGGCGATAAACATATAGAGTGAACTCGTTCTTTAGAGTTTGTTTTTAAGACGGAGTCTACCGCAAAAAGCTTACGTAATTATTTTAAAGTATTCCAAAAATAAATGTGTTGTAGTTGTGGCTATGAATCAGTAAATATTTTTTGTTTTATTTTATTATTATTTATAATAAACATAAACAATATACAGAATGAGAAATCGATTTGCTCGAGTTACATAGGTAACTAATGTCCGTGTTTTGAGATTTTTAAAAATTAGAAACAATTCTGGATTACAACAATTGTGTGGCTTTAGTCACATTATTTAACTACAAATGTGGCAAAAACTTCGGTATGCTGCTCAGCAAACCATCTGTGACTTCATACTTCATAAATTTTTATTATAAAAAAAATTTAAAAAAAAAAATCAAATACTGATAAACTAATTACCTTTAGTTATTTTTATAATACTGGGGATTTACCTAGTAGCCATGTCGAGTCTAAAATAACTAATTTTTGCGGTATGTTCATGCTACAAATAATTTGTTTTTGGTTAAAAAACAACAAACAAAATGTTTAGTACATAACTACATATAATTTAATAATATATTTTGACCTAGATTTGATGCACTTTAATTTTAATAAAATTCAAATTAAGTTTTTACTTGTTTAAATAATTTTAAAAAGTGTCGCAAAAAAACAAACTACATAATTATAGTTTGTTAACAAAATTAAAATTATACTATAGCCTGGCCAATAGACAAGAATATAGAATGGTCTATAGTTCAGACTATGGACTATAGATATAAAGTTAAGACTATAGACAAGTCTATAGACAATACTAAAGTCTGTAGCTGGACTATAGACAAGACTAAAGTCTGGACTACAAACTAGACTGTCTAGTCTAGAGTCAATAGACAAGACTATAGGCAAAACTATAGACAAGACAGATCTTTGGACAAGACTATAGACTGGACTATAGACAAGTCTATAGACTGGTCAATAGAAAAGACTATAGACTGGTCTATAGACAAGATTATAGACTGGTGTATAGACACGAATAGACTGGTCAATAGACAAGACTATAGACTGTTCAATAGACAAGACTATATACTAGTCAATAGACAAGACTATATACTAGTCAATGGACAAGACTATACATTGGTCAATAGACAAGACTATAGACTGATCTATAGTCAAAACTATAGACTGGTCTATAGACAAGCCTATAGACTGATCTATAGACAAGACTATGGACTGGTCTATAGACAAGAGTATATACTGGTCAACAGGCAAGACTATAGACTGGTCAATAGACAAGACTATAGGCAAAACTATAGACAAACTGATCTATGGACAAGACTATAGATTGGACTATAGAAAATACTATTGACTGGACTATAGACAAGACTATATACTGGTCAATAGACAAGACTATACACTGGTCAATAGACAAGACTATACACTGGTCTATAGACAAGACTATAGACTGGTCTATAGACAAGACTATAGACTGGTCAATAGACAAGACTATACACTGGTCTATAGACAAGACTATACTCTGGTCTATAGACAATACTATATACTGATCTATAGACTGATATATGTATAAACAAGACTATAGACTGGTCTATAGACAATACTATAGACAGTACTATAGACAATACTATATACAAGACTATAGACTGGTCTATAGACAAGAGTATAGACTGGTCTATAGACAAGACTATAGACTGGTCAACAAAAAAGACTATAGACTGGTCAATAGACAAGACTATAGACAAAACTATAGGCAAGACTGATATATGGGCAAGATTATAGACTGGACTATAGACAGGACTGTAGACTGGACTATAGACAAGACTATAGACTGGTCTATAGACAAGAATATATACTGATCTATAGACTGGTATATAAACAAGACTATAGACTGGTGTATATACAATGCTATTGACAAGACTATATACAAGACTATAGACTGGTCTATAGACCAGACTATAGACTTGTCAATAGACAGGACTATAGACTGGTCAATAGACAAGACTATAGACATGTCAACAGTATATAGACAAGACTATAGACTGGTCTATAGACAAGACTATAGACTGGTCTATAGACAAGACTATAGACTGGTCTATAGACAAGACTATAGACTGGTCTATAGACAAGACTATAGACTGGTCAATAGACAAGACTATACACTGGTCTATAGACAAGACTATACTCTGGTCTATAGACAATACTATATACTGATCTATAGACTGATATATAAACAAGACTATAGACAATACTATAGACAAGAATATAGACAGTACTATAGACAATACTATATACAAAACTATAGACTGGTCTATTGAAAAGACTATAGATTGGTCTATAGAAAAAATTTCAGACTGGTCTATAGACAAGGCTATAGACTGGTCTATAGACAAGACTATAGACTGGTCTATAGACAAGACTATAGACTGATCTATAGACAAGACTATAGACAGGTCTATAGACAAGACTATAGACTGGTCTATAGGCAAGACTATAGACTGGTCTATAGACAAGACTATAGACTGATCTATAGACAAGACTATAGACTTGTCTATAGACAAGTCTATAGACTGTTATATAGTCAAGACTATAGACTGTTATATAGTCAAGACTATAGACTGTTATATAGTCAAGACTATAGACTGTTATATAGTCAAGACTATAGACTGTTATATAGTCAAGACTATAGACTGGTCTATAGACGAGACTATAGACTGTTATATAGTCAAAACTATAGACTGTTCTATAGTCAAGACTATAGACTGTTCTATAATCAAGACTATAGACAGTTCTATAGTCAAGACTATAGACGGTTCTATAGTCAAGACCATAGACTGTTATATAGTCAATGCTGTTCTGTAGTCAGAACTTCTATAGACTTTTCTATAGTCAAATCTATAGAGTACTTTATAGTTATGATTATACACTGATATACCATCAAGACTATAGATTGTACTACTGACATGACTGGAAGACTGAAAGAAAACATTAATTTAATTTTCCCTTAATTCAAGCAATTAAAGGGTCAGATCATATAAATTCTATTAATATAAATATTCTATTCTTTCATAATATTATTACTACATTTTACTATGTCATCTTATGACCCCGATAACAAGTTAAATGGCAAGAAATTGACAAGTGTCATTCATTCATACGAACGGTACGGATAGTTGCATGTATGCATGAAAACTTTTTCATTGACCTAGACATTATTGAAAAGCAAACTGTGACACAAGTCATCATACTATATATGGGCACATGAGATATTTTTACAATTAATGAACAACTAATGAGAACATAGTAGTATAATGTAAATCAAAACCAAAAGATGATGACTATTGATACTTGAACAAAACAGAAAAAAACTAATATGGTAAATTTAACCAGGCGTGACGTGAAAAATTGTTATAAAAAACCAATGCCACGGACCAAATACTTGTACGAATTAGCAACAAGTAGTATGAGTTGGAAAAACCAATGTTGTTGTAGGGGCCAAGAGCTTAGTGTAATGGTAGGGGGCTACAATTATATTAATAGTAAAACTATTATCAAGGTTTGTGATTTCTGATATGTAACTAATTTAATATTTGTTCTATTAAACTGTGATTACCCCTATTATGAAATATTTGCTACATTCTGGTTTATATTAATAAATATGCAAATAGCATATTAAACATATGATTGAAATGTTTATTAAAAACGAATTCTAAAAATTGAAACCAGAGTATATAGAAACTGATATGTAAGAATCTATAATTGCTGTAAAAATATGGATGACGTGTTGGTCATGACATCATATTGGAGAAAATTTCTAGTTCTTTAATTCGTAGATTTCATTGGAATAAACTGACGACGTATTCCTAATAGGTGATGTCACAGTTAAGGTGGGAGACACCATTTCAACTTGAATTTTTATATTTCATTAAAAACCTTAAACTGAAATGATTAATGACTGCACTACACTGAGAAAAAACTTCATAGTAAATTTCATAATTAAATATACTTTCGAATATTCTGGTCTATATCCTAGTATACAGTCTAATATATGTTGTAGTCTAGAGTCTAGTCAAGACTTTATACTATTCTGAAGTCAAGACTATAGACTGTTCTATAGTAAAGTTTATCGGCTGTTCTATAGTAAAGGCTATAGTCTGTTCTATGGTCCAGACTATAGACTGTTCTATAGTGAAGACTATAGACTGTTCTATGGTCAAGACTATAGGCTGTTCTATAGCTAAGATCATTGACTTTACTATAGCCAAGTCAATAGACTTTTCTATAGTCAAGAATATAGACAGTTTTAAATTTAAGACTGTAGACTATAGACTTTTCGATAGTCAGGACTATAGCCTTTTCAGTAGTAAAACTTTAGACTGTTCTATAGGTAAGACTATAGAATGTTCTGCGGTCAGGACTACAGACTGTTCTAAAATCAAGGCTATAAACTGTTCTATAGTCATGAGTATAGACTGTTCTACAGTTAAGGCTATAGGCTAGTCTAAATATAGTCTAGTCCATAGTCTAGCCTATTGTCTAGTCTGTAGTTTAGTCTCTAGTCTAGCCTGTATTTTAGTCCATAGTCTTGTCTATATTATGGTCCTTAGTCTAGCCTATAGTCTAGTCTATATTCTAGTCAATAGTCTAGTCTATAGTCTAGTCTATAGTCTAGTCTATAGTCTAGTCTATAGTCTAGTCTATAGTCTAGTCTATAGTCTAGTCTATAGTCTAGTCTATAGTCTAGTCTATAGTCTAGTCTATAGTCTAGTCTATAGTCTAGTCTATAGTCTAGTCTATAGTCTAGTCTATAGTCTAGTCTATAGTCTAGTCTATAGTCTAGTCTATAGTCTAGTCTATAGTCTAGTCTATAGTCTAGTCTATAGTCTAGTCTATAGTCTAGTCTATAGTCTAGTCTATAGTCTAGTCTATAGTCTAGTCTATAGTCTAGTCTATAGTCTAGTCTATAGTCTAGTCTATAGTCTAGTCTATAGTCTAGTCTATAGTCTAGTCTATAGTCTAGTCTATAGTCTAGTCTATAGTTAGTCTATAGTCTAGTCTATAGTCTAGTCCTATAGTCTAGTCTATAGTCTAGTCGATAGTCTAGTCTATAGTCTAGTCCTAAATAGTCTAGTCCGTATAGTCTAGTCTATAGTCTAGTCTATAGTCTAGTCTATAGTCTAGTCTATAGTCTAGTCTATAGTCTAGTCTATAGTCTAGTCTATAGTCTAGTCTATAGTCTAGTCTATAGTCCTAGTCTATAGTCTAGTCTATAGTCTAGTCTATAGTCTAGTCTATAGTCTAGTCTATAGTCTAGTCTATAGTCTAGTCTATAGTCTAGTCTATAGTCGGTCTATAGTCTAGTCTATAGTCTAGTCTATAGTCTAGTCTATAGTCTAGTCTATAGTCCTAGTCTATAGTCTAGTCTATAGTCTAGTCTATATCTGTCTATAGTCTAGTCTATAGTCTAGTCTATAGTCTAGTCTATAGTCTAGTCTATAGTCTAGTCTATAGTCTCTCTATAGTCTAGTCTATAGTCTAGTCTATAGTCTAGTCTATAGTCTAGTCTATAGTCTAGTCTATAGTCTAGTCTATAGTCTAGTCTATAGTCTAGTCTATAGTCTAGTCTATAGTCTAGTCTATAGTCTAGTCATAGTCTAGTCTAGTCTATAGTATAGTCTATAGTCTAGTCTATAGTCTAGTCTATAGTCTAGTCTATAGTCTAGTCTATAGTCTAGTCTATAGTCTAGTCTATAGTCTAGTCTATAGTCTAGTCTATAGTCTAGTCTATAGTCTAGTCTATAGTCTAGTCTATAGTCTAGTCTATAGTCTAGTCTATAGTCTAGTCTATAGTCTAGTCTATAGTCTAGTCTATAGTCTAGTCTATAGTCTAGTCTATAGTCTAGTCTATAGTCTAGTCTATAGTCTAGTCTATAGTCTAGTCTATAGTCTAGTCTATAGTCTAGTCTATAGTCTAGTCTATAGTCTAGTCTATAGTCTAGTATATAGTCTAGTATAGTCTATAGTCTAGTCTATAGTCTAGTCTAGTCTATAGTCTAGTCTATAGTCTAGTCTAGTCTAGTCTATAGTCTAGTCTATAGTCTAGTCTAGTCTATAGTCTAGTCTATAGTCTAGTCTATAGTCTAGTCTATAGTCTAGTCTATAGTCTAGTCTATAGTCTAGTCTATAGTCTAGTCTATAGTCTAGTCTATAGTCTAGTCTATAGTCTAGTCTATAGTCTAGTCTATAGTCTAGTCTATAGTCTAGTCTATAGTCTAGTCTATAGTCTAGTCTATAGTCTAGTCTATAGTCTAGTCTATAGTCTAGTCTATAGTCTAGTCTATAGTCTAGTCTATAGTCTAGTCTATAGTCTAGTCTATAGTCTAGTCTATAGTCTAGTCTATAGTCTTGTCTATAGTCTAGTCTATAGTCTAGTCTATAGTCTAGTCTATAGTCTAGTCTATAGTCGAGTCTATAGTCTAGTCAATAGTCTAGTCTATAGTCTAGTCTATAGTCTAGTCTATAGTCTAGTCTATAGTCTAGTCTATAGTCTGGTCTATAGTCTAGTCTATAGTCTAGTCTATAGTCTAGTCTATAGTCTAGTCTATAGTCTAGTCTATAGTCTAGTCTATAGTCTTGTCTATAGTCTAGTCTATAGTCTTGTCTATAGTCTAGTCTATAGTCTAGTCTATAGTCTAGTCTATAGTCTAGTCTATAGTCTAGTCTATAGTCTAGTCTATAGTCTAGTCTATAGTCTAGTCTATAGTCTAGTCTATAGTCTAGTCTATAGTCTAGTCTATAGTCTAGTCTATAGTCTAGTCTATAGTTTAGTCTATAGTCTAGTCTATAGTCTAGTCTATAGTCTGGTCTATAGTCTAGTCTATAGTCTAGTCTATAGTCTAGTCTATAGTCTAGTCTATAGTCTGGTCTATAGTCTAGTCTATAGTCTTGTCTATAGTCTAGTCTATAGTCTTGTCTATAGTCTAGTCTATAGTCTAGTCTATAGTCTAGTCTATAGTCTAGTCTATAGTCTAGTCTATAGTCTAGTCTATAGTCTAGTCTATAGTCTAGTCTATAGTCTAGTCTATAGTCTAGTCTATAGTCTAGTCTATAGTCTAGTCTATAGTCTAGTCTATAGTCTAGTCTATAGTCTAGTCTATAGTCTAGTCTATAGTCTGGTCTATAGTCTAGTCTATATTCTAGTCTATAGAATAGTCTATAGTCTAGTCTATAGTCTAGTCTATAGTCTAGTCGATAGTCTAGTCTATAGTCTAGTCTTTAGTCTAGTCTATAGTCTAGTCTATAGTCTGGTCTATAGTCTAGTCTATAGTCTAGTCTATAGTCTAGTCTAGTCTATAGTCTAGTCTATATTCTAGTCTATAGTCTAGTCTATAGTCTATATTCTAGTCTAAAGTCTAGTCTATAGTCTAGTCTATAGTCTAGTCTATAGTCTAGTCTATAGTCTAGTCTATAGTCTATAGTCTAGTCTATAGTCTAGTCTAGTCTATAGTATAGTCTATAGTCTAGTTTATAGTCGAGTCTATAGGCTAGTCCATAGTCTAGTCTACTCGTTTATAGGCAAGCAATAGATATTAATAATAAATATTTGTAAAGCGCTTAAAATCCCCAAACGCTCTTGGGTAAATTATAACTCCCTTTAATCCACCTTGACCAATATATTAACTATCATACAAATAAACTTTAATTAACACCTATTTTTAAAATGTCACTAAACCCATAAAATCCATAATATTATACAAAAAACATGTAAAATTTAAAATCAAATAACTTACCTCTTCTTCGTTTTTATGCAAAGTATCGTTAAGTGCGATAACCCAAGACATTAATAATTCGTTAACAATCACCAAGTCACTATAGAGCCAACGAAAAACTTGGCTAGTCCAAGTGACGGAAGTCTAAAATAACAACAATAAACAAAACAACAATATAAAATAAATCAATATATTTAAAAGCAAACAAAAAACCACTCTATTAAATATAATAATAAAATTAACATAAAAAAAAAAAAAATATTTTATAAAAACCACACAAAATAAATTAAACTAAAAATCCCACTAACTCACCGTTTCTGGTCCAACAACATTTGAGGGCGGTGGCACATAACGTTTTTTACGATTTTCCGGTCCTGTCGAACCCTGTCTCACCATACGTCTGCGCACACCCGGTCCACCGGCAGCAGCTCCAGGTACCGGTGGTCGTCCACGACCACTACCACCCGCCGGTTTTGCTAATAAATCTTTTATTTCACTTTTACTTGACAATATTTCACGCGGTTCCGAGAGACGTTTTTCAGTTTTAATACCACCCGGGGCAACACTACCCTGCCGACTACTGGCGGCACTAGCAGGTTTATCTTTCAGCACATATTTTTGGTATAAAAATTTACACAGCCATACTAAGAAGAGAGCCAATACGGCCCATATAAATATAAACATTGCTAATGAATCCATTGTTATATCACCGAGACCTTCAAATGTACAAATATAATCATCGATTTGATCGGCTAAATCCATAATAGTTTAAAACGTTAAGGGTGTTGTTTTAAACAGTTGGCGCCATGGGCATCATAGCTGGAAATGAGAAAAAACGGGGGATAAAGAGATTAGTTACAAAGTTAAAATTTGATTTAATGAAGAGTATATAAAAAGGAAAGTTATGACAAATCGTTTATAAGTAGAGAATTTATCAATCAGGACGACCTTAACTATGACTATAATCTGAGGTGCATAGTATACTGAAGTCAGGACTATATATTAGACTCAAGTTCGGATTATAGACTAAGCTATAGTCAGGAACTAGACTAGATTTTAAAATGAACTACCAACTTAACACTGGATTTTAGACCAGACCGTAGTCTTACTATAGTCTAGACTATAGTCTGAACTATAGACCAGACTATAGACAAGACTATAGTCTGAACTATAGACTAGACTATAACCTGGTATATAGACTCTACTATAGCCTTGATTATATACTAGATAATAGTCTGGATTATAAACGAGACTATAGTATGGACTATAGACGAGACTATAGTTTGGACTATAAACGAGACTATAGTTTGGACTATAGACGAGACTATAGTTTGGACTATAGACGAGACTATAGTTTGGACTATAGACGAGACTATAGTTTGGACTATAGACGAGACTATAGTTTGGACTATAGACGAGACTATAGTCTGTACTATAGACGAGACCATAGTCTGTACTATAGACGAGACCATAGTCTGTACTATAGACGAGACCATAGTCTGTACTATAGACGAGACCATAGTCTGTACTATAGACGAGACTATAGTCCGGACTATAAACGAGACTATAGTCTGGACTATAGACTAGACTATAATCTGGACTATAGACGAGACTATAATCTGGACTATAGACGAGACTATAGTCTGGACTATAGACGAGACTATAGTCTGGACTATAGACGAGACTATAGACGAGACTATAGTCTGGACTATAGAAGAGACTATAGTCTGGACTATAGACTAGACTATAATCTGGACTATAGACGAGACTATAATCTGGACTATAGACGAGACTATAGTCTGGACTATAGACGAGACTATAGACGAGACTATAGTCTGGACTATAGAAGAGACTATAGTCTGGACTATAGACGAGACTATAGTCTGGACTATAGACGAGACTATAGTCTGGACTATAGACGAGACTATAGTCTGGACTATAGACGAGACTATAGTCTGGACTATAGACGAGACTATAGTCTGGACTATAGACGAGACTATAGTCTGGACTATAGACGAGACTATAGTCTGCACTATAGACGAGACTATAGTCTGGACTATAGACAAGACTATAGTCTGGACTATAGACGAGACTATAGTCTGGACTATAGACGAGACTATAGTCTGCACTATAGACGAGACTATAGTCTAGACTATAGACGAGACTATAGTCTGCACTTTAGACGAGACTATAGTCTGCACTATAGACGAGACTATAGTCTAGACTATAGACGAGACTATAGTCTAGACTATAGACGAGACTATAGTCTAGACTATAGACGAGACTATAGTTTGGCTATAGTCTGGACTTTAAACGAGACTATAGTCTGGACTATAAACGAAACTATAGTCTGGACTATAAACGAGATTATAGTCTGGACTATAAACGAGACTATAGTCTGCACTATAGACGAGACTATAGTCTGCACTATAGACGAGACTAAAGTCTGCACTATAGATAAGACTAAAGTCCTCACTATAGGTAGTCTGGACTATAGACGAGACTATAGACTGGATTATAGACGAGATTATAGTCTGCACTATAGGCGAGACTAAAGTCTGCATTATAGACTAGTTTGGACTTTAGACGCGATTATAAACCAGATGTAACAAATTTTAATGACAAGTACTGCCAATATTTGTAAAAAAAATATTTAAACAAATAATTATTTTTAGTTTATTTATGTTTTAAAGAATTAATAAATTGCATATAATTTAAAAACTAAAATGAAAATGTGTTCATGTATGTTTAAACAAATGTATTTAAAACTTATTTATTCTACATATCACACTTTTGATAATACTTGTCACCCAGTTGTTGTTATTATTTGCAATGTGTCAAAATTGTATAAATATGTAAACAAAGCAAATATCGGGTATACGTATGTGTACCCGATTCATACATACATATAGAGCAAAAGAAAATAGTATAGAAGCACTTAAATAGGGCACGATTTCTTTTTGAAATTTTTAATAAATAGAATTTTGAAAGGAAAGAAGGGATGTATTTTTTAGAATCTGTCAGTTATTGAACCGATATAAACACTCACTAAATTGACAATTATTCTTATATTTCTGATATTTGTTAAATTTTTGACGAACATACACTTCAATTACAACAGTTTTTTACATTAGAGTTTTAAAATTTTTATTTTTTTATGAAATTTTTTTACATTTTAATTTTTTTCTTAAAAAATATTGAAAAATTATATAAATAATGCGTTTTGCTTTCGCCTAAATAACAGCACAAATTAAATACAAAAATATTGTTTTTATTTTGCTAAAATAAAATTTGCAAAACAACCGAACATTTTCTTTTAAAAATTAATATTTTTGTTTTTGCAATTGTTTGAAAATGTGAAAATATACATCTGGGATTTTTTTCTTCAAAATAAACACTTGATAGAGGGAAATAAAACAGAAAGAAAATACATAAATTCATGAGTAGAAAAATAAACATATATATTTATTTAAGAAGAACAGAAGTCGGCACACAGTACTTGAATAACCCAGTGAAATATTTGGCGGACTTTGGAAGGAAAAAGTAGGCATTTAGGGACCACTAAAAAGAATACTAAACCACAACACAAAGCAATCATTGACAAGAATATAGGCATGATTATAGACTAGACTATAAACTCGACTATAAACTGAACCATAGGCTAGACAATAGACTAGACTATAGACTAAACTATAGACTAGACTATAGAGTAGACTATAGACTAGACTATAGACTAGACTATAGACTAGACTATAGACTAGACTATAGACTAGACTATAGACTAGACTATAGACTAGACTATAGACTAGACTATAGACTAGACTATAGACTAGGCTATAGACTAGGCTATAGACTAGACTAGACTAAGAGTAGAGTATAGACTAGACTATAGAGTAGAGTATAGACTAGACTATAGACGAGACTATAAACTAGACTATAGACTAGACTATAGACCAGACTATAGACTAGATTATAGACATGCCTATGGACTAGACTATAGACTAGACTATAGAATAGACTATATACTAGACTATAAACTAGACTATAAACCAGACTATAGACTAGACTATAGACTAGACTATAGACTAGTCTACAAACTAGACTATAGACCAGACTATAGACTAGACTATAGACTAGACTACAGACTAGACTATAGACTAGACTATAGACTAGACTATAGACTGGACTATAGACTAGACTATAGACTAGACAATAGACTAGACTAGAGACTAGACTATAGACTAGACTACAGACTAGACTATATACTAGACTATAGACTAGGCTATAGACTAGACTATAGACTAAACTATAGACTAGACTATAGACTAGACTATAGACTAGACTATAGACTAGACTATAGACTAGACTATAGACTAGACTATAGACTAGATTATAGACTAGACTATAGACTAGACTATAGACTAGACTATAGACTAGACTATAGACTAGCCTATAGACTAGACTAGTCTAGTCTAGACTAGACTATAGACTAGACTAGACTAGACTAGACTAGACTATAGACTAGACTAGACTAGACTAGACTAGACTAGACTAGACTCGACTAGACTAGACTAGACTAGACTAGACTCGACTAGACTAGACTAGACTAGACTAGACTAGACTATAGACTATAGACTATAGACTATAGACTATAGACTATAAACTATAAACTATAGACTATAGACTATAGACTAGACTAGACACTAGACTAGACTAGACTAGACTAGACTAGACTAGACTAGACTAGACTAGACTAGACTAGACTAGACTATAGACTAGACTAGACTAGACTAGACTAGACTAGACTAGACTAGACTAGACTAGACTAGACTAGACTAGACTAGACTAGACTAGACTAGACTAGACTAGACTAGACTGTAGACTAGACTATAGACTAGACTATAGACTAGACTATAGACTAGACTATAGACTAGACTATAGACTAGACTATAGACTAGACTATAGACTAGACTATAGACTAGACTATAGACTAGACTGTAGACTAGACTATAGACTAGACTATAGACTAGACTATAGACTAGACTATAGACTAGACTAGACTAGACTATAGACTAGACTAGACTAGACTATAGACTAGACTATAGACTAGACTATAGACTAGACTATAGACTAGACTATAGACTAGACTATAGACTAGACTATAGACTAGACTATAGACTAGACTATAGACTAGACTATAGACTAGACTATAGACTAGACTATAGACTAGACTATAGACTAGACTATAGACTAGATTATAGACTATTATGACTAACTATGACTAGACTATAGACTAGACTATAGACTAGACTATAGACTAGACTATAGACTAGACTATAGACTAGACTATAGACTAGACTATAGACTAGACTATAGACTAGACTATAGACATAGACTATAGACTAGACTATAGACTAGACTATAGACTAGACTATAGACTAGACATACTAAGACTAAGACTATAGACTAGACTAAGACTAGACTATAGACTAGACTATAGACTAGACTATAGACTAGACTATAGACTAGACTACTAGACTATAGACTAGACTATAGACTAGACTATAGACTAACTATAGACTAGACTATAGACTCGACTATAGACTAGACTAGAGACTAGACTATAGACTAGACTATAGACTAGACTATAGACTAGACTATAGACTAACTATAGACTAGACTAAGACTAGACTATAGACTTTTACTATAGACTAGACTATAGACTAGACTAGAGACTAGGCTAGAGACTAGACCATAGACATGAATATGGACTAGACTATAGACCAGACTATAGACTAGAATATAGACATGACTATAGA